TCTTACGCAGAGGCGATAGAGGGTCCCTACTCCTCTCAGTGGCAGGCAGCCATGGACGCAGAGATGGCTTCCTGGAAGTCCACAGGCACCTACGTTGACGAGGTTCCCCCACCTGGGGCGAACATCGTCAGTGGCATGTGGATTTTCAGGGTGAAGCGGCCGCCGGGTTCTCCGCCTGTCTTCAAGGCGCGTTACGTGGCTCGAGGCTTCAGTCAGCGAGAGGGAGTTGACTTCTTCCAGACCTTCTCCCCCACCCCGAAGATGACCACTCTTCGGATGCTGCTGCACGTTGCTGCTCACCGTGACTACGAGCTTCACTCTCTTGACTTCAGCACAGCTTTCTTGCAGGGTAGCCTGCACGAGGAGATCTGGCTGCGCCGCCCCCCGGGCTTCACTGGGTCGTTCCCTCCTGGTACCCAGTGGAGCCTCCGGCGGCCGGTCTACGGTCTCCGCCAGGCGCCACGTGAGTGGCACGACACACTGAGGACTACGCTTGCGGCTCTTGGGTTTGCGCCTTCTACTGCTGACCCGTCGCTGTTTCTGCGCACCGACACTTCCCTGCCGCCGTTCTACATCCTCGTGTACGTCGACGACTTGGTTTTTGCCACTGCTGACACTGAGGCTCTCGCCCACGTGAAGTCGGAGCTGCAGAAGAGACACACGTGCACAGACTTGGGTGAGCTGCGCAGCTACCTTGGCTTGCAGATCACCCGAGACAGAGCACGTCGCACCATCACCTTGACTCAGTCACACATGGTGCAGCAGGTCCTTCAGCGCTTCGGCTTCACCTGGTCTTCAGCACAGGCCACTCCTCTGGCTACAGGTCACACGCTCTCAGCTCCACCTTCGGACGAGTCCGTAGAGCCGAGTGGTCCTTACCCAGAGCTAGTCGGCTGCCTCATGTACCTGATGACTTGCACTCGACCTGACCTCGCGTACCCTCTTGGTCTCCTGGCTCGCTACGTGGCTCCTGGTCGGCACCGACCTGAGCACATGGCTGCTGCTAAGAGGGTACTGCGTTACTTGTGCAGCACATCAGGCATGGGGCTAGTGCTTGGAGGGACGAGCCCAGTTGTCCTCACTGGGCACTCAGACGCTTCTTGGGTTGACGACCTGGCTACTCAGCGGTCGTCACAGGGTTACACCTTCAGCCTTGGCTCTGGTTCAGTTTCGTGGCGTTCTACACGCTCGTCTTCAGTTCTCGGCTCCAGTTGTGAGGCTGAGATCTACGCCACCGCCATGGCTGCACAGGAGTTACGCTGGCTCACCTACCTGCTGACTGACTTGGGAGAGCAGCCTCGTTCTCCTCCAGTGCTGTACGTTGACAACAAGGCCGCCATTGCCTTGTGTGAGGAGCATAGACTGGAGCACAGAACGAAGCACATTGCTCTGCGGTACTTCCTGGCTCGAGAGTTGCAGCAGCGAGGCCAGCTTCGTCTTCGCCACGTGGCCACTCGGGCCAACACTGCTGATATATTCACCAAGGCATTTCCGTCTGGTGATCATCAGCGCTTTTGTACTCTGTTAGGCCTTGTGCCTACGTTTCCACACTTGCTGTAGTCTCTGCTTGTACTGTGATCTGTACATATATATATATGCATGCTGGCTCTTGCTAGGTAGCCATCACTGTACTGTTATTGCTGCATATATATCTCTGCATGTGAACTGGCCCTGTGGCCCTTTGCTTGTGCTCGGAATGCGTGGTGACGTTGTGATCCACCCTGAGCTTGTTTTGCTTCTCTTGACTGGTCGTGTGACCTCTTGTTCTCCCCCACTTTGCCTATGGGGGTGTGTCAAACTATATGTGCTGCATATTGTCTAGGCTGTAGTGGGGTAGCCCATATGGGGTACAACCCAATTAGGGTTTACTACTTGTACTCCTGCATCCTGTTAGTTCACTCATTCCTGCTGCTAGATTCTAACAAGGGAGTCAATCGAGAATATGGATTCAGCAACTGGATAGAATTACTGGCACAAGTGATAGGAATCGGTGACTGCCATGGAATGGATAAGTCAGACAGAGATATCAGCCAGGCACTGCACAAGTCACTGGGATGATCCCAGTGGGACAAATGACTCAAATGAATATTCAAAACAAGTCACTTGAATATGTGGCTCAAGCAGTAGAGACTCTGTTGGAAAACTGAAACAAACTGGATTGGCGGGTATAAGGTAATCAAACAAGTAACTGGAATCAGCAACTAGGACGAGTCACTAGAATCAGTGAGTGACCGAAACGAGTCACTAAATCGGTGGCTTGAACCAGTCGCTAAAACAAGTGACCAAAATTAGTAACTGAAATGAGTGGAATCAGTGACCCTGATTGAGATGCTGGAACAAAAATTTTGGATCAATCAGGAACAAACATTGAAGTACAATAATCATAGACGAGTGAGTCACTGAAGTCCGGAAACAAACTCACCGGAATCAAAGCGAAACAAGTCACGCATCACTGATGGGAATGAGTCGCTGAAAAAAAGTACTCGGGTTGATATTGGATTGGAAGTGAGTCACTGAAACAGGTCAGTGACTACAATGAGCAGCTTAAAGAGGAAATCGGAATCAGAAACAATGATGGAACGATTGGGGAGGGGAACCAGTCAAGGAGCCAGGGAAGAGGAGTGGTGCATGTTCCTTTTCTTTGCACTAGAGAAATTTGACTTTATTACAGATGTATTGCAAGACAAAATCATATATCAATAACTACACTATGTATGTACAACGCACAACTAGGCATTCAACATAATTTAGCACACAGAAACATCAGAAATGCTTTTGTCTTTGTGAGAACACCGCCCTAAGGTTAGCCATCAGCCTCCAGCAGAGGACCATCAGCCAGCTTCAGGTTCCCTTCATCCCCCAGATTCATGCAACAGGCACAAGGATTCTCGTCTTCGCCATTCTGGACGCTTCAAACGTTACCTTCATTTGTTGTAGCTTTGAAAACCCCTTATCCGCCAAGGAGATTCCAGCCTCAGTACCTTTTGTTGATCTGCTACTGCTTGTAACACTCGCCATAGCGACCTTCACAAACGCAGGTCTTGGTATTTTCGATGGCAGGCTTGAAATAGCAGCCAAGGAAACCAATTTTAGCGACCGTTGCTTTATCTTCTGCTGTGTCGCCTGCTCCTGGTTTGGTGACAGATCACAGGCGACGTCAGCAGCAGCTTTCACCACAGCATTCACGGGAGCCGGTCGCAGGGGGGGAGAAACCAGGAAGTCTACGAAAAGACCTCTGCTGGACTCCCTTCAGTTCCTCATCAAATCTGCCGATTCTGTATGCAGCAAAGAACGGGCTAAAGCCTTTCTTGGTCGTCCGGATCCTCCTGGTGTCCGTGTTCGGCCGTCTGTCCTTCCTGCTGGTATCGCTGTTGCTACTGTTGTTACTTGTAGCGCCAGCAGCCGTGCTGGAAGCCAGCAGAGACAGATTGCTTGTAGCGCCAGCAGCCGTGCTGGAAGCCAGCGGAGACAGACGTGCCATCAAGATCGCTTTTAAGGAAGCGGGAGAACGACTACGTTTAACAGAGCGCTTTTGATAAAATTTATGCTCGGAGTAGGAGAGGGTTTTGAATTCAGTAAGCTTGAGCTAGAGAACCAGAACACAAACCGAGTGACTGCATGAACGAACGAGTGTGATCTGGTCAATCTGTACGCGTTAGAGCTGAGGGGGTCCAGCGGAGGGGAGGGGAGGCGAGGCTATGCGAAGTCCCCTTAGAAGGAAAGGCTCTCTGCTTGGAATCCCGAGCCAAACAGTGAATTTCGTGTAGGGCAGGAACGATTTCTACGGTTATTATGGTCAGAGGAACAAGCGCTACTGTGCCAGCCTCATCATCATTTCCCAACCTGCCCGCTGGGTAGTATTTCGTACCTTCGCAGGCTGCGAGCTGGGGTGTCAGATCGGTGTGCCATGCTGGCGCGCCGCGTCATACGAAATCAGAGGTTCATACGAGCAGTAACAGTAAAACGCGGGCGAATCCGCAACCGTTTGCGCGTGCTCGCGGAAGCGAACTGCCCGCGGGCAAAAAAAAACTAAACCCCATCGCGACCCGCATGCGGCTCGGGAGCCTCAACCCTAAAATTTTAGGGTTGAGGCTCCCGAATGGCATGCGGGTCGCGATGGGGTTTAGTTTTTTTTGCCCCGGGCAGACAGCTTCCGCCGGCTCCGCGTCCTGGTGGAAACGAGTTTCCACCAGGGGGGCACCTGGTGGAAATGCGCCCACCAGGGCTCGTAGGAACTCGGCGGGACGAATCGAGGGAATTGCTACGTGTGGGATTCTCGAGGCGGCTCCCTCTGGTTTTCCAGTTTCGTGCGAATTCGTGGCGCCTCGGCCCATACCGACCATTTCCCTCCGTTCCAAACGGACACAACTGCCACCAGCAGTTACCACCAGGCCTCCAAGCACCTCTCGCCTCAGGGACCTTCGCGGATGACCTCGCAAAAGCTAGCTGTTCTGTGTGTCGCAAAACTGGGATTCCTTTTGCGAATTTGAGCACGAAAAACGTACTTGTGACAGCTGGAAGCATGACCCAGTTCAAGAGCGGCGGCTTGTGAGCGTTCTAGGGATCGACGAGGACATGAGGAAGATGAGAGCTGTATTCTCTATAGGTCACAGGGATACCCCACTTCTATCCAGAAAAGTGGGGTGCCAACATGTTCTTACCGTACATAATACAGCTTGGGGGACCAACTTTTTATTGCATGAGTCTTGCATATGTCTCTAAAAGAACAATAAGAAGTGACTTTTCATGTCAAGAAAAGGTGGGTACTAAATTTACTTAGGGGCATTTGGCTTCATGGAGTAGTGACGGGAGTGAGTCTTTTTGCTGACAGCCAGCAAAACAAGTCACTGAAATCAGACCCACACAAAACAATTGAACGAGTCACCTGGGAGGGACAGACAGTCTGGAGATAATCATCAATAGCAGACTGGTCTTCACGAAATCACACTAAACATCCTTATCACGCTGATATCTGGAGGCCTGAATCCTAAATCTTAGAATCACAACCTTTTCTTGGCATGCACGAATTTCTTATGGAAGAGAGACGAAGGCAGTGTGACTCTGGCGAGCAGCAGGCAGGGCACTGCAAGGAAGGGCAGGTAGACGGCTAGCAGCTTCTGACGGGTGGACCAGGGGGGTGGGCTCAGTGCGATCTCCGAGAGAATGGGGATCTGCACGTGTGAGGAAGGGGATGATAAAGAGGAAAGGCGATTGGGAGCAGCAGAAGAGGGAGATGAGAACAGGGAGACAATGGAGAGCAGCAAGCAGGGCAGGAGGCAGGGCAATGCAAGGAGGGCAGGTAGGTGGCCAGCAGCTTCTGACGGGTGGACCAGGGGTTTAGGGTTCAGTGCGATATCTGAGAGAATGTGGATCGGCAGGAGTGGGAAAAGGGGGTGGAGGTGCAAACTTTTTTATGGGAGAGAATGAGAACATTGAGGGTTCGAAGAGAATGGGGACATGCTTGTGAGAGGGTGGCAGTGGAGCAGGAGGGAGCAGTGGAGCAGGAGGGTGTGACAAGGGACATGGCAGGCCCCTTACCCGGACTTGTCAGAAATGGTAGGCCTCGTAACAACGCAGTAATGGGGACTGACATGAGCAATGTATGGACACCAGGGACATGACGGGTACGAGGGATATGTCGGCGTGAGGGAGATGAGGGGTATGAGGGACATGAGGGGTGTGAGAGAGATGAGGGGTAAGAGGGAAATGAGGGGTATGAGGGGTTTGAGGGGTATGAGGGGTTTGAAGGGAATGAGGGAAATGAGGGTATGAGGGACAAGAGGAGTATGAGGGACATGAGGGGTATGAGGGGTATGAGGGGTATGAGGGGTTTGAGGGAAAGGAGGGGTACGATGGCATTACCATGCTGCTGATGGCAATATGATGCTGGCAGTTGCATGGGATGGATATGGGGAGACTGACCATGTTGGTGATGGCATGGCCAGAGTAGGCAATAGCAGGCACGCGGATCCACTCCCTGCCTGAGAGCAGTGAGATGGAGATCAATGGGGGCGCACGAGGGATGAGACATGAGACATGTGGCATTAGACACGAGGCATGAGACATGTGGCATTAGACACGAGGCATGAGACATGTGGCATTAGACACGAGGCATAGATGAGAAACCGACATCAGACATGGGACATGAGACATGGGACATAAGACATGGGACATAAGACATGGGACATGAGACATGGGACATAAGACATGGGACATAAGACATGGGACATGGGACATGGGACATGGGACATGGGACATGGGACATGGGACATGGGACATGGGACATGGGACATGGGACATGGGACATGGGACATGGGACATGGGACATGGGACATGGGACATGGGACATGGGACATGGGACATGGGACATGGGACATGGGACATGGAACTTGAGACATGAGCCACGGGTGGGTTGGGCAGCAGAATGACCCACCAGCGCAGAAGGCGTAAATAGCTACGAGGAAGAAGGGCACATGCAGCAGGAACTGGGAGATGACAAGCGAGAGGAACCACGGCTGGGGCGAGCCTGTGAGGGAGGGGGGGGTTGGGGGGGGGGGGGGGGGGGAGGGGGTGGAAGTAGAAGAAGGGATAAACGGTGCATTGAGGTGAGCAAGGTGCACTACTCTTGAGGCGCCTCAGAAGCACTAAGGGCACATGCAGCAGGAACTGAGAGATGACGAGGGAGAGGAACCATGGCTGGGGCGCGCCTGTGACCGGGTTGGTTGGATGGAAGCAGAAGAGGGAATAAGCGGTGTACTGAGGGGGAATGGCAGCAGCATGTGGGAGAAAACGAGGGAACGGAACCATAACTGCGGCGAGCCTGTGGGGGGGATGGAAGCAGAAGAGGGGAAAAACCGTGCACTGAGGGGGGATGGCAGCAGCAGCCGAAAGGCAACGAGGGAGAGGAATCAGGGCTGGGGTGAGCAGCGAGGCTGAGAGGGGGTTGGGTGGAAGGAGGAGAGGCAGTGAAAGGAGGAGAGGCAGTGAAAGGAGGAGAGGCAGTGAAAGGAGGTGAGGAGAAGAGCGTTCGGAGGGAGAAGAGTGGAAAAAGCGAGGAGAAGGGGACGGGTGCATTGAGGAGGAATAAGGAGCAGCAGAAGCTGAGCTGAGAGGCGACAAGGGGGAGGAGCCAGGGCTGGAGAGATTGACTTTTGAGTCAACCCAAAAGTCAACTCCAGGTGCCACATGAGAACGCGGCCTAAACAGCTGTGTTAATTTCCCTCATATTTCGTTTACCAGAACATATATATTTTTTATGGGGTGTACAACAAAAAAGTCCTCCCTGCGTGCCATGACGTCACGTCACGTGCGTATCGCATTTGAAAAGAGGGCGCGCAGCAGCTTCTCTATGGGCATTATAGATTGGGAATGAAATAATTAGGTTATTAACTAACCGACTAGGAAGTCCCAGGAGGCCTGAGGACTGCACGTGCCACGTCACAACGCAGCTTTACGCCTCTGGGATACTAAGAGCGCGTGGCAGCATTTCCTAGCAGCGTCAAATAAGCTCACCGACGAGAAAGTCGCCTGAGGTCTCGACGTGCCACGTCACAGCGCGGCGCAACGCCTCTGGGAAGAGGGCACGTGGCAGCAGCATCTGCGCGTCGATGAGAACGGCGGTGAGCACGTGGACGGCGAAGAAGAGCACGAAGAATATGTCGAACGGACGCTGCGCGAGCGGCACGGCTCGCGTGATGCTCGTCGTCGTCGTCGTCGTCATGATGATCGCGACAAGAATGTGCGAAGATGTTACAACTAGGAAGGTGCTTGCGTTACGTGGAGGAACCCCGCAACGCAGAGCGGTTTATGTGTTGATTTGATTCGAGGCGTCGTGTCGGGTCGTTAGTGGCTCCTGCACGCGCTGTACCCTGAAACCTGAATATAAACTTGGTAGAATGCGATGCGGGCCCCGCGTGTTGATGGAAAAAACTGCGCTGTACGCGCTTGTGAGCTGCAATCGTGGTCCCTCACTCTTTATTACGGTGCCTGTGATTGTGTTTTCTGTTATGAAATAACGCCAAGGGGTCTAGATCGGTCAGAGTACATATTTGTCAGTTATGTAGCGATGCAATAAGGTGCTTCAGATGCGCAAGACCTGAACAAGGCTCAAACTGGAGGGGGTTGCTTGGTCTGTTTGTTTAGGAATCTGGATTGAGGGCTATGAACATGTGCGACGGTTACAGGAACACGCCTGCGACGTGGAGGAGTGTGGTTATTCCAGGCTGGAATGTAATTCGCAAGCCTCACGAATATCACGGCGAAGTGAAGGTTCTCGCTTTCGCGCAAGTCTGCGACGTGGGGGACTCGGGTTACTTCATAGAATAGTTTTTCAGGCGAGGTTTTCAGGACAGTGAGCGATTATTCTGCCAGTCAAACACACCACACCACACAACAGTGTTGTACTGTGCATCCTAGCAATAAACGCCGCCATTCTACTATCCGTTCTACTATCTATTCTGGACTAAACTCGCCGAAAGTTAGGCTACTCGACGTGGGTCGTGGTCCGCAAAGTTCCGATCCATTACCGTGGTGAGTGCCAGCTTTGAACACCCAAGCAGCAGCTAGCATGGGGAATGTGTTGGGCTGGATGGTTTCACGAGAGCAGGCGGGTAGTGAATAACGATAAGCCAGGATCATGGTCATCGTCACTTCAGTGACATTGCAAAGCCTAGGGGAGCATAAGGGTTGTTTGGATCCAGCGGGATCGCTTAGGGTTATTGCTTCCGCCTTTGTAGAGCCCACGAGTGGCAACAGAAGCACCCTGTGTTTACTTTTAGAACACTCAAATTCACATGGTAAAGCAGCATATTTGCTTTCTGAAGGTTCGGGGTGAAGCGTGTCGAGTGCGGTCCTAAGTCAAGCAAAGAAGCGAGGCGAGCGTTTGGGTTGTATTCACGGGAGAGGGATGCGAGGGACGCGCGAGAGCGTGAGAGGCAGGCAGCCTCGCGGTCGCCGGCTCATCCTCTCGTAATCCGCTCCAGTTATTTCATTAATAATAAAGAGAATCTCATGTCCGTCGGAAGTCTCTTTTCCAGCTGTCATTGTGGCGTCAGCAACGCCGCTGTGACAAACTTACCGCGGTTAAGGGGGCGTGCGAAAAAGGCTTGACAAGAGCCTAACCCATAGTTTGGCAAGGCTTGTCACGTCTGATCAGCTGCCTGCCATCGCCTGCCATCGCCTGCCATCGCCATGACTCAAACGCGGAAGCATGTGAAGGTGAGTGCGCTGGCCGAGTCTTTTCACGCCCTTTCTCATCCAACATCACCTCCCATCCCTCCTGTCACTTCCCTCCACTCCCGTCCACCCCCGTGCACCCCCGTGCACCCCTCACCAGCTCCCATCACCACCACATCGCCATGACTCGCGCACGGAAGCATGTGAAGGCGAGTGCGCTGGGTTTTTTTTTCACGCCTTTTTTCATTCCCCATCACCTCCCATCCCTCCCATCACCCCTCCCCACCCCTCTCCACCCCCGTCCATCCCCCACCAGCTCCCATCACCACCACGTCGCCATGACTCGCGCGCGGAAGCATGTGAAGGCGGGTGCGCTGGGAGAGCGTGTGAGTGTGGGCGAGGGCGAGCAGATTCTGCGCGTCGTTGCCCCCCGGGGCAGCAACCTCATCGAGGTGAGCGGGGGGGGGAGTGGGGGGGGAGGAGGGGTGGGAGGGGGGGAGGAGTGCGAGAGGGCAAGGAGATTCTGCGTTGTTGTCGTTGCTCCCAGGGGCAGCAAGCAACCTCATCGAGGTGCGTTGGCTGTAGAGGCGCCTCAGAAGGCGAGTGCGCTGGGCGAGAGTGTGAGCGTGGGGAAGGCGAGCGTATGAGCGTGGACGAGGGCGAGCGTGGACGAGGGCGAGCAGATTTTGCGCGTTGTGGCCTGGTCCCCCGCGGCAGCAACCTCATCGAGGTGAAATGAGCTGTTTTTTTTGGGGAGGGAGAGAGGGGAGAGGAGGCGGGGGAGGTGGTTAGTGGAATGCGGGGTACTCCCACAAAAATATCATCTCTATGCCTTCAGGGGTAGCAGCCTCATTAAGGTGAGATGAGGTGGTTGTCTGGGGTGGAGAGAGAGGGGGGACGAGGTGGGGGAGGAGTGGGAGGAGGAGAGAGAGGAGGGGGGGGGGGGGGGGGAGGTTGGGGGATGCGGGGTACATTTACTGTGGTCTTAATAACAGTTACTCTCATTGTATATTCTCGTCAGGTGAGAGTTTTGTGTTTTTTTTTTTTTTTTTTTTTTTTTTTTTTTTTTTTTTTTTTTTTTTTTTTTTTTTTCGCCTCCCTGCCTGCCTTTCACTTCTCTCCCCTCCGCTAACCTCCCTTCTCCCCTCCCCTAATCACTCCTGCCCTCTTTCTCTTCTCCTCTCTCCTCTCGCCCTCCCTTCGCTCTTCCCACCACAGCTGTGTAATGGCAAGGGCACAGCCATGCTGTGCATGTTTGGTCCCTCAGAATTCTGTGCTTTCTCTTCCCCCCTTCCCTCCGCTCGTCCCCCCTTCCCTCCGCTCGTCCCCCCTTCCCTCCGCGTGTCCCCTCTTCCCTCCGCTCGTCCCCTCTTCCCTCCGCTCGTCCCCTCTTCCCTCCGCTCGTCCCCTCTTCCCTCCGCTCGTCCCCTCTTCCCTCCGCTCGTCCCCTCTCCCCTCTGCTCGTCCCCTCTTCCCTGGCAGCTGGAGGATGGCAAGGGCACGGCCATGCTGTGCATGCTGCCCGCCAAGTTCCACCGCATGCTGTGGCTCAAGCGTGGTGAGAGTGGGTCGAGTGAGGTGTGAGTGAGGTGTGAGTGAGGTGTGAGTGAGGTGTGAGTGAGGTGTGTGTGGGTTGTGCGAGGTGTGTGCTGGTAAAGCAAGGTGTGCGCTGGTCAACGAGGTGGGCATGGGTGACGGGTCCGGAGATGTTGGCTCGACTCTCTCAAGAGGTGGGAGCGACTCTAGAGAGGTGTGAGCCGTAGGTAGTATTTATGTGGATCTGTTTCGTAGGCACCAAAAAGAAAACTGCACCTTTCGTGCAGCCCTGTTCGTGGCCGAGTGTGGGCCCACCCACGCTTAACCGTGATTCCGTTCTCACATTCTGTTGTGTTTTGAGTCGACTCGGAACACGATGGTAGATGATGGCTTGGACTGCGATTCTGTTCTCCCTTTCTTTTCCCCCCTAGACTCACCAGTCGAAAGAAAATAAAGACGACTTCCACTCTCCCATACTCACCTGAATGTCGCCAATTTTGAGAGATTTAATTGAGGAGATTTCGTTATTCTTCTCAATGGGCCCCCATATTCTCCTGACCGGCAAGTAGTATCCCCTACTCACTTACACCGCACCACATCATCACGCATTTGCCTTATCAGTCTCCCCCTTTCCCCCACCACCCCCCACCCACCAGGCAGTTTCGTGGTGGCAGATGTGAGTGCAGCAGAGGAGGTGGATAAGGCGGGAGGGAGAGTGCGAGGCAGCATAACGGCCGTGCTATTTGACCACCACATCAAAGAACTTGTAGCCTCCAATCAGTGGTTCGTACAAAGCCGTTTTTCATTCCACCCAAGACGAGAGTCCGAGGCACCATAGGGCAGTTCTCTCTGATCGCCGCTTTGAGAAGTTTTTAATTTCCAAATTGTGGATAGCAAAGAGCGACGGTCACAACTTCGTTCTATTTTCAGCTTCTTGGTTGTCTTTTCTAGTTGTTCGTCCTTGTGTGTATTGATGCAACACCGTTCGTTCAGTGAGACCTATCGGAAAAAAAAAAAACACACACACACACACACACACACACACACACACACACACACACACACACACACACACTTCCTTTTCCTGATCCGATGCTCTCCACATGTTCCCTCAATCGGCAGGCCAGAGGCATTTGCAGAGGCAGTGGTCAAGGAAAGAGCCGGAGCATCAGCAGCAGCCCCACTGGAGCAAAGCCAACAGGAGCCGCAAAAGCAAGGTGCAGAGCACAGCTCAGCTGGAGAGGAAGGGCAGGGTTTGCGGAGTTCCCAAGGTGGCGCAGGGGAGGGGACTGAGGATTCAAGGCGAAGAACAAGAGGAGATGGGCAGATGAAGGAAGAGGGTGTGGGAGAGGAAGAGGAGGGTGATGATGAGGAGGACGATGGATTGCCTCCTTTGGAGAGGAATCCAAATCATCGACCAATGTTTGTTGAGGAGGATGTTTCAGATGATGAAGACAGTGAGGAGGATGATGAGTAAGGGAATGTTCCTGTGGAGACACTTGTGTCTCAATTCCTTTGTGACACTGGAAAACAGCATATAACGGCACGTGTCACAAACGCGGACCGCACAGATGCGATCCACACTGTATTTTACATTGGTTGGCGGGAATTGCGGGGGCGTCGCGGACGAGTTACACGAGGCCCCGTCACACCCCGGAAGTCGCACGCGTGTCGAAATGTCACACTGTACCGCATGCACCTGGACTCCCGAAATCAGCAAACTTTGCGCGGGAGCAGGAAACCGCTCTGCCCGGGCAGACAGATGACTGGTGGTCCCTGCCCGACTTTCAGCACACCGTTTCGACCGCGCTGACACCGCTCTCCCGCTCCACTCCGTCCTTGTACTCCAAACCCCAGTTCTGACCGAACCAATTGGTCGCCACCAATAGAAAGCGCCCAACTGGCCATGCACATTTGTTGCCCAGAGTCGAGATACATTGGTTGTTTGTGACATAACATTCGGCAAATTTACAGGCGCGACTCGGGAAAAAAAGGGATTGAGACACAAGTGTCTCCACAGGAACGTTCCCTAATATCCACACCTACATATCTGGAAGCAATTTTGTGCACATCATTGTGGATTGAAGCATTAGCGGAATGCCCCTAATTTTATTCCCCTCTCTTTGACATGTATGATCTTCGCTGACGTCTGTTCCATTGAAGCCCTAAGTCCGTCGTCCCATGCAATAAAAAGTTGTTCCGCCAAGTTGTATCACAGTTTGCAAAGTTACTGTGGATTTTGTGTTGGCATCACACTCTTGAGCTATAGAGACTACAGCTCTCATCCCCCCTCTCATGCCTTCTTCCACAATCCCTAGGCGATGTTCGGCTTGTCAAAATAGCAGGATGAAACAAGAAACAGGAAAGAGATGATTTTCACTAGCAGGCAGTTGAGTACATATAGCAAACCCTAATTTGGGCTGTACTCGCTATAGAGTACCCCACTGCAGGCTAGACAAACATCACATTCTGACACACCCCCATAGTCAAAGTGGGGTATAATCAGCACAACAAGCAGGCAGAGCAATAGTTCACAATGATAAGCAAAGCTAGAGGCAGTCACAAAGGGCAAGTGAGGAGGAGGAGGAACTGTGAGAGGAGTGGAGATAGGAAGCATCAGGCGAAGCCACAGACACACAGGCAACAGGAACGGCGCGCACGGCGGCTACCGGAGCACTCAACCTCCGGACTACAGGAGTAACTGGCTCCGCACTAAGCTGCAGGAGCAACGGACCCACGGGCGGCTGGCGCAGCAGGCTCGCTGGGCTACCAGAGTACTCAACCCCCCAGCTACTGGCGCTGCTGACTGTCAAAGTATAAATGTGCTATATGTTGGTAGGCTGTAGTGGGGTAGCCAATATGGGGTACAACCCCAACTAGGGTTTCCTATTTGTACCCTTGCTTCTTTCAATCCAACCATTCTTGCCTGTTAGTTTCCACATGGTTTCAGAGCCGTAGGTCCGTTAGGACCGATTTTTTTTTTTTCCAGGGCCCACCGAACGCCTGCCTGCCTGCGGTTACCGCGCTGCCCCACACGCGCCCTGCCTTGCCTGCCCGTCGCGCTGCCCCTAATCCCGCGCCCGGTCCCTTCCCTGCCCGTCGCGTCGCCCTAAGCCCGCGCCCGGCCCCCTGCCTGCCCGTCGCGCTGCCCCTAGGCTCGCGCCCGGCCCCTACCTTACCGTCGCGCCGCCCCTAAGCCTGCGCCCGGCCCCTGCCTGCCCGTCGCGTCGCCCTAAGCCCGCACCCAGCCCCTGCCTGCCCGTCGCGTTCCCCCTAAGCCCGCGCCCGGCCCCCTGCCTTACCGTCGCGCTGCCCCTAAGCCCGCGCCCGGCCCCTGCCTGCCCGTCGCGCTGCCCCTAAGCCCGCGCCCGGCCCCTGCCTGCTCGTCGCGTTCCCCCTAAGCCCGCGCCCGGCCCCCTGCCTTACCGTCGCGCTGCCCCTAAGCCCGCGCCCGGCCCCTGCCTGCCCATCGCGTTCCCCCTAAGCCCGCGCCCGGCCCCCTGCCTGCCCGTCGCGTTGCCCCTAAGCCCGCGCCCGGCCCCCTGCCTACCGTCGCGCTGCCCCTAAGCCCGCGCCCGGCCCCCTGCCTGCCCCTGCATCCTGCCTTACGCCTGCCTGCCTTGCACTGCTGCCATGGCGACCATGAATGTGCTAGCTTTCGAACCTGACGGTCGCCCGATCGCATTTCCCACTTGGCTTGATGATCTGCAGCTTTTCCTTCTGACTGATGGCAAAGATGGTGTCTCGCTTTTTGACTATGCCACTGGCACTGCCGCTGCTCCTGCTGACAGTGCTCCTGCTGTAGACCGCTCACAGTGGCTGACTCGCGATGCTGCTGCGCGCCTTGCTATCCGCAACCATCTACCGATTGCTGAGCGCGCGCATTTCACTCAGCACAAAACTGCCAAGGCACTTTATGACGCAGTAGTTGCACGCTACTCCTCCCCAGCCACTGCCGCTGTAGGAGGCCTCATCCTGCCCTACCTGTTCCCTGACCTGTCCTCCTTCCCCACTGCTGCGGACTTGATTACTCACCTTCGCGATAGTGAGGCCCGCTTTAACGCCGCTCTTAACGACGAGTTCCGTGCCAAGAACCCCCCTCCGCTCTACTTTACCCTCTACCTCCTCGTCACCCGCCTCCCTGACACCCTTAGCACAGTCAGGGACCACTTCCTCGCCATTGACGCCCCCGAGATCACCCTAGACGACTTCGAGCGGCAGCTTCCCGCAGCAGAGAAGAATCTCCTAGCTGTCGGTGCCGCTCGAGGCACTCCCCGCACTCCCCTCTTTGAGGGGTGCTCCCCCTCCCCCCTCGCCCCCTCGCACGCCTCGGTTGCTACTCCCATTGACCTTCCTGGTGCTTAGAAGGTCGCAGCTGCTTCCGCTCCTAGTGGGAAGCGCGGCGGGGGCCGGGGCGGCAAGGGGGGCAGGGGTGGCGGGGGTGGGGGTGGGGGGAGCGGTGGTGGGGGCGGTGGGGGTGGTGTGGGGGGTGGAGGTGGTCGTGGGGGTGGTGGAGGTGGCAGCGGAGGCAAGGGGGGAGGAGGCGGTGGTGGTGGGGGTGGTGGTGGAGGCGGGAGTGGGACCGGCCAGCAGCAGCAGCAGCCGCAGAAGCAGCAGCAGCAGCAGCAGCAGCAGCGCCAGACCCCCTCCTCTCAGCAGCTTCATGACTGGTATGCTGGGCGTGGGGCGTCTGGGGGTTCTGGTCGCTGCCCCTATGTCATTCTCAACGGCCCTCGCAAGGGCCGCACGTGCAACGGCCCTAACCCTGAGTCCCGTTGCTTTGCGCGCCTCAGCGACGCCTGGCGCGCCAAGTTTCCTGATGCCACTGAGTTCCCCAACTGGGCTGAGCTGCGTAGGCGTGATTTCAATGTCTATGATCTTGACTATGATGCAATCCTTGCTGCCATGTATGCATTGACTGTTAGTGCTGAGGGTGACTGCTACTTGTGCGTTCCACCTAATCCAGGTATAGAGACAGCAGCCCTAGGTGCTCGTGCGTCTGACCCCTCTGGTACTGCGTCCGCGCAGGCTTTGCACACGTTTACACTTGACTCTGGTGCTTCTCGCTGTTTCTTTCGCGACAGCACCGCAGTCACCCCCCTCCCTGCACCTGTTCCTGTCTCACTGGCTGACCCCTCTGGGGGCCCAGTGCTTGCACGTGCCACGACTGTGCTTCCGTGCCCGGCGGTCCCGTCTGGTGAGCTGTCAGGTCTCCATGTTCCCTCGTTCTCTACGAACTTGGTGAGCAACGCCGTCCTTCAGGATCACTGGGTTGACACTTGGTCTCCTGGAGGGCAGCGTGTGGCGATCTGCACGTGCTCTCGGACTGGCCGCCACCTAGCCACGTTCACCCGTGAGCCAGGGTCTAGTCTGTACACCCTCACCACTGTTTCACGCTACACTCCTTTGTCTCCACAGCTGTACGAGTCTACTCAGGTAGCCACCCAGTGTGAGTGTCGCCGCCTGTCCCACGACACTCTCCTTTGGCACCACCGCCTTGGTCACCCCTCCCTGCCTCGCCTTCGTAGCATGCACTCTCGTTGCCTGGTCTCTGGCCTTCCCAGGTCTCTCCCTGCCCTCCCTGCCTTGCCTGCGCCTCCCTGCATTCCTTGCATCGAGGGGCGGCAGCGCGCCGCTCCTCACTCCTCCTCGTTCCCTCCCACAGAGGCTCCACTGCAGACTCTCCACCTGGACGTGTGGGGCCCGGCCCGCGTCCAGGGGCAGGGCCGCGAGCGGTACTTCCTGCTGGTCGTCGACGACTACACGCGCTACACCACGGTCTTCCCCTTGCGCAGCAAGAGGGAAGTCCCTGCTGTTTTGATCCCCTGGATCCGCGCT